CAGCTCCCGACCGCATCTCCCGTCCACACGCCCGTATGCCCGATGGAAGCAGCATATCATCCGCCGACACCGGGACCGGCAACAGCACACCGCATTCTGGAACCTTGTCCAGTCCTCCCCCAGCCAGGTAAGACATCCCCCCGAAAATAAGACCTAGTGTCTTTTTTTCGTGCAAAAAAATAAAAATAAGGCAGTCTTATTTTCGGGGAAACACGGTATATATCACGTACCTGACTGGAGACCCAACTGAAAGTGGGGCTGCTCGTGCACCTCTGGTCCCACACCTCTAGAGGTGGTGACAGAGAATGTAAGGACATAGAGAGGCAAAGGCGCTGCTACTGGTGGCTGGCCGGTTTTCATAGAGACGCTTGTGTGCTTTGGACCAGCTGGTGAATCTCCAGCCGTCTCCTTTAACCAACTGATGGAGGAATGCCGGCTGAAAGGGAGCCGACAGCCCCACATACATACAATACAAATTCGGCCAGTGTATGGACACCTTTATACACTGGAGAGCAGAGAGTCGAGGTACTAAATCGGAAGGAGGAAGCGGAGTTAATTGTCACAAGCCAGGTTCAAACACAGAAATTTAGGATATAGGAACAGAATGCAGGACACACAGGGACTAGCTGATGACCACTCAGCAACTTGACTATGGCCTCTGTCAGTTTATATACAGAAGCGTGTGCCCGTAAGCTCACGTGCATGCTCTATTGTGCATAAACGTTCCAATACATGCACATCCATGTGCCAAAACTAGTTTGCCTGGAACTTTTAAAATAGGATTGCATGCTCGTGTATATACACATCATGGAGCAGGAATCAGTTTGCAGGAAAGTCTCTTACAGTATATTGATTAAAAAAACAATCTGAATTAGTGTAGTCACTAGTGTTTAGCGTGTAAAAGAATAAAAGTAATATTTTACGTTTGTGAAATTAAACACATAAGACCCTCTACTGTACACAAGCTTCCAAGAGAATTTCATTTAAAGCCCAATTGTACACTATTTTTTATTTGTTCTATGTTTAAACACAGTCACCGACATTTGTATAAGTATAATAAGAATCCTCTCCAACTTAACTCTGCTGGGAGATGAATTGTAGACTGCATGAATAAAGGGTTCCTTTTTAGCTACTGGTCATCAGCATGGAAGAAGGACCAATTGTGCAGACTCATATTTATGTAGACGCTAACTTGTGCGTGTACTGCAGGGGACATCTCCAGATTGAATGAGAGTATTGAAGCCAAGGGACCTTTTTAAGAAAAAAAAATGGCCTGACTTTAATAATTATATAGGGGAATTTTTTACATAAAGAAAATACAAATTTCACCACACCAATCAGACCAATAGATCTTTCTCAAGGAATTTTAGAAGATTTAAGAGATTAATTATAGGAATGATTTAAGCCTACCTAGGAGCTGTCCCCTTTGTTCTCAAATTCATGATAATGAATTACGACCTGACAAAACCAAATGCAGCTGAAGACTTTTTATTTGCATGAACTTAATACATAATTAAAGCCTCACTTTAGGTAACTGCAACAAATTATCCTTGAAATGGGGCCCCTTCATCTCAAGAAGTAAATGCTTATTAAGTCTTTGTGTAGAGGATTAAAGTGACATTAAACCCTCAGATTTTTTAACATAAAACAATACTGTAATGTGCGCCTTACTGTAATCCATGGTTGTTTCCCTTCTCTTTGATGCTCTTCCTTTTTAAATCTGTATCTTTTCTCATGCTTGGAAAGAACTTCCCTTTTCAGCTCAGGGCCTCTTCCTTTAGTGCTGGCTCAGGTTACAGCCTATAGAAACGTATACACATACACCGTTTGAGACAAGGCAGTCTGCTGAAAAGGCAAGTTCTCTCCAAGCATGAGAACAGATACAGATTTAAAAGGAAGAGCATCAAAGAGAAGGGAAACTACCATGGATTACAGTAAGGCACACATTACAGTATTGTTTTATGTTTAAAAAATCTGAGGGTTTAATGTCACTTTAAGCTGTAGTGCTTACCTTATTCCTTGCACTGGTAGGCATCCACCACTCTGTGCAACTGGTCTTCTGAGGCTGATTCCTTTTGCAGGTTTTCTGGTGTCATTATGTACAATGCAGGATCATTGGTAATGCATTGTATGTAAGGATGGCAAGGGCATGCACCCAACCAGGGGCATTGGAGAGAAGAGGATATTGGAGAGTTCAGCATTGGCTGATTCGGGGGGTGAGGAATAAATTGGGTGTTAAAGCTTATTCCTCTACTCCTAGGCTATCTGTTTTTTTGTGGACACAGCAAGTGTTTGTTTTTACATATATATATACATATACAGTATATATCCTGGAGTTGGAACTTGGCACTTCGCTAATGTAATACCCTTCCAATTGTGCGCCACCCTTGTTGGTTGGAAGGGTTGATGTTTTAAACTGTATTGGGCATATGTTGCTTAGCAGATTTATTTAAAAATATCAGCATAGTATTAGAGTACCATGCAGAATCCAGCAATTACTTAAGATCTTATAGTCTTTTGAAATCATACTGTAGATGAGCTGTAAAGTTTAAAATGCTTTCTTATAATATGTTACTTTTTATCCTAATTTGCTTTAGTTTTTGACAGAAGATTATCGATTGGAGGATATACTGTGGCATGTTACAAGAGATGATTTAAAGTCTATGGATCTCAGGTAGTTTACTAATATTGTCTTTCTACTTATAGTAATCATACTTCATGCTCTTAACTAACTGTATACTAGGGAAAGCATATTGTGACTCTAGTATCTCCAGGTGCTGTATTTTAACATGGAGCTACATCTTGCCCCTCTGAAACTTTTTCGTTATTTTTTTTTAACCTTTTGGAACCTATAATAAGGGAATGATAGGTTGCCATTTGGGAGTATTTGTATTTTTATTGTATTTAAATTAGGGATTTAAAAGAGCAGACTTTTTAAATTAAAATAAAACTTGCATTGTAATGAAAGGTGAAGTATATGGTCCATAAATAGTTCGCTTTGAAGCATTTACTATGTAATTGTACAACTTGTGCTAAGACCGTTTCATATTTGTTATAAAGAGTGAATTACAGAAGCCTATTATAATGCTTGCTCCAAACAAAATAGTAAACTATAGGGTCTATTTATAAACAATTTGCAGAGCCATTTGCCCTGTGAATCTCTGTGGCCGTTCACTCTGTGTGAATACAGGCAAAAACAAACGTTATATCTGTAAGAAATCAAGGCAACTGAATTTGCTGTATTTTTCTTGAAGACGCTTCATTGGTCGTCCGGCGACGGTTATCCAATCCGATTCACTGTTCATTCGATGAAGCGTATTCAAGAAAAATACAGCAAGTCCAGTTGCCTTTATTTATTTTTTACAGATATACCATGACCTGAATGAGTGAGAACCTTCACAGACAAAAACAAATGTTCTTAAAGTAATTTAATACCGTACTTTGGCCACTAGATGGAGCTAAGTATAGGAATCCCCGCTATACTTGCATATACAGGGCTTGTTAGCTCCTGTGTGATAGCAATAGAGTTAAAGTAACATTAAACCCTCAGATTTTTTAACATAAAACAATACTGTAATGTGCGCCTTACTGTAATCCATGGTTGTTTCCCTTCTCTTTGCTGCTCTTCCTTTTAAATCTGTATCTGTTCTCATGCTGGGCAGAACTTCTGTTTTGCAGCAGACTGCCTTGTCTCAGGAATGGATATATGGTGTCTGTGTGTAGGTTTGTAACCTGAGCCAGCACTACAGGAAGGGGCCCTGAGCTGCAAAGGGAAGTTCTCCCCCAGCATGAGAAGACATGAGGATTTAAAAGGAACACATTACAGTATTGGTTTATGTTAAAAAATCTGGTTTAATGTCACTTTAAGTGATAAACAAAAAAATACAAAAATTAAGAAAAAAAAAATTAAGTAAAAAACAATAAAATAAATACAATACAATAAAAAAGTAAAAGATCAGACATTGGTGCGTTGAGGATCGTGGCCTTGGGGCAGCAGACATAGTAAATCTGGCCCTGTGTGTATGCATGTATATATATATATATGTGTGTGTGTGTGTGTGTGTGTGTGTGTGTGTGTATGTATGTATGTATGTATACAATATTTCAGTATCATAAATAGAATACTTAGTTTTTCTGCTAATTTTTAGTCATGTGTATCATCTAAATACGACGTATAACTAAAGAATGACTAGTTTTCCCTGATTGCTGGGATGACAAATAAACCCACTCTTTTTTTAAAGTAAATATTGACTTTTTATTCATGAAGAGTCCCCCTAGTTGAAGTCGGAGAACTAGATATGCAAACTTTGAACATTTTACTGACAGACTCCCTTTTCCTAGTCTTACTCTCGATCTCCTGTTACAGCAGTTCTGCAGGGTGCCTAAATAGGACTGTGCATTCCAACAGGTACCATAGGCAGCCGAGTGAATGACCGACCTGAAGCGAAGTGAGCCGAACGTTGTTCAGCTATTCACTTTCGAACCCATAGTGATCTCAGTAACAGACCTGCGTCTTCTTCTTCTGCACGAGTCTTGTGATGAGGGTGAGGCTGCTATTCAGCTACGTCCGCACGGAGCACTGGAGTGTGAGGATAGAAAACAGCATTTTTACTGAGAGAAAATGAATTTAAGGTGTTTCCAAGGATAAATCCATTACAATTCAAAACATATGATGGTACAGAACAATAAAATGATAAAAAGGTTTTAAAGCACACCCTTACGAAGAAAAAACTTTCCAATTCAGCGACCCGGTACAAGTATGCACATTGGGAAAGTCAGGGTAAATTCAAAAGACCGTAACTATATGCTCATTTTGGGTCTTCCCCACTCTATATATAATTTGGCTGGAGTTAGGCTTCAAATAGAAATCCACTGTAAAGTTTGCACAAAGAAGCATTTGTAGATTTTAATGTACTGTTTATTTTCCATCACAGGGGAGGAACCTTTTGTGCAATCTGGAAGGCCATCACCGACTTCAGAGAAAAGCAGTCTTCTTGACAAATCATTCTATACAGCTATAAGTCATGACAGCTACAAGGCATGGTTTCCTGGTAGAGACACTGCTGCACTTTATCCTTCTTTGTGTTTACTAATGTGAAGTCATCACATAAAGTAGGTTCTGTCCCACTGAATAACATTACAGACGCCTATGTTAAGTACGATTCTTAGTTAACTTTTAGGTATTATAGTTCTCTAATTTGTTGCTGTAGGTAGGGCCACACAGCCTTTTGTTGTTTAGATACTTTAAAATGTGAGTTTGCTGATGATGTTAAATGCGTAAAGCGTATTAATGCTTATGTATGCCATACTGTAAATTTTGTGCGGGAGGGTAACATAAGTAATTTGTGGTCATGTTTTCTTATTTACTGTATCTAATGTCTGCTATATTTCTTGTATCACTGTTTTTTAATTCATTTTGCAGAAAAGGATGTTGTTTTCTTGTGTAAATGCCCATTTGTTTTTCACCCAAACAAATATCAAACTGTAGCAGTTCAAGATTCTGTATGTGAATTGTACCAAGGCTGGCTTGTTTTAAAGCTATCCCAATATTTAGTCTGACATTAAATTACTGAGAAAAGTGTTCTTTTTTAAAGACAATGTACAGTGTTTTGTTTATATTTTATTTATTATCTTCATTACTAAAAAAAATTACTTTTTAAATATGTTAACATTTTCTTTTTGGTTAAATAAATATGAAAAATTGCATTTTATTAATTAATATTTACCAGTGGTGTGCTAGAGGCTGCGGACTCAAGGTTTTCTACACAGATTTATTACTATGCTGTATATAGTCTTTTGTAATTTGATTCCTGCTTTTCAATTCTAATCACAACACAAACACAGCTCAGTGAGTCAGGGTAGGGAGAGAGCCCCACCATCTCTGCTAGCTCACAGAGACTTGTATGAATTTTAGACAAAGGTACCTTAACAAGGCAGTGGGCAGTGCTGGCCTTTCTTATTCGAAAACCAAGTATTCAAACACACAGTTATAAAAGCCATGTTTTACATTGTGTAAGTGTAAAATAAAGATTTTATACAAGGAATAAAAAAATGATAGCCAGTTTAAATTTTTTTTTTAAATAAAATGAACAAAATCCATTATAGTTTCCCTTAAAAGTTATATTTGCTTGTAGAATGTTTTGTTAGTAATACATTTATTATCACACTGAGTTTCTAATTCAAATGTCTAATGATAGGGGGGGAAAAAATGTGTAAACATGTTGGAAAATCAGATGAAAAGTAGGCAGTAATACAATGTATGGGCTGGGTACCAGACGAAGGCTGCATTCTCGCTGGAGAGGCCTCGGGGGTGAAAAGCTGCACATACTAAGGTAAGGTAACCTTACCTCACGAGGCCAGCTTCCTGATTGGCCAGCTTCCCGACCAATCAGGAAGCCGGGCAGCGCGTCATTACACGCTGCCCGTCTTCCTGATTGGCTGGGAAGTCGGCTCCATGCTCTCTCATCACAAGTGACGAGAGAGCATGGAGCCGCTTCCCTGTCAATCGGGAAACCGGGCAGCGTGTAATGAAGCGCTGCCCGGCTTCCTGATACCGGAAGTACTCGTGCTAGGCATCGGAGCATTTGGGCGAGTACGAGTACTTGCCCAAATACTCAGAATTGGCACCGATATCGATACTAGTATCGGTAAGTAATAAGCAACATTACAAAGCATGCACTAAAAAATTCTAAAGTGCCGCAAATTGCATGTTAAAGTGCATTTCCAAACACCTGTATTCTTAAACTGTTACAGTACAAATGAGGTCCATATTAGAGATCAATATAAAACTATATCTTAAGAGCTGTTCACTAAAAACACTGTGCAGATAACAAGGTGATGCCCAATGTGTCTTTGAAGAAAGTCATTTTGAAAAAATATTGAAATATAAAATAAGTAATTTTGCCACTGACATAGGAAGAAGTTCTCCATAATAAGGGTGATCTGATTTTGGAATCTTAGCCAAAGAATGGAGTGATGGTCAACAGTTTAAAACAATTTGTGTAGTTGGGATGTTGGCTTTACGAAAAATGGCATCTCCATCCATAATTAGTAGGATTTGTGAGTGGACACATAGAGCCAAATAACTATTCTGGGATTAGGAAGGATCTGTTTCACTCGCATACCTCTTGCTGGTGAAGTTCAGAGTCGTCCAGAACCTCTTAAGCCAGCTATACAAATAGAAACTTTTTCAATGTGTTTATTTGTATAAGCATGGGCACACCACCGACATGACAATGTAAGGACCAGCTAATAGGTCTCTCATGCTTTGAGTGGCATTCCAAGCTGGGGGCAGACAGCTGATGTCTGCTACAAGAAAGTATAGACTTTGCAGGGAAAACTAGGCAGTGCTGGGCTTAACAGCAAGAGGTGTGCTTATGCAGTCATGCATGATCCTGATGTTAGCTTTGTGAATAAACCCTGTCCACAGGTTTGCGTTAAGTTAATAAGGTATCGTTTTATTCAGTATTGCTGTGACACACACAACTTGATTTAAGTAAACTATGAAAAATGTGCTTTGCCAATGTGTGATTCCCATAGGCTGGGTTTCTTCAGATTAATGTTTCATTTTTATAATCATACTTGTATCTTATTTTGATAATTTGTGGGTATACCTGTAAACTTGTTCTTCACATTCTGTGTTTTTGTAATCTTTTATTTGAAAAATTGAAATAAAGAATTTACAGGGAAAAAAAAAATCTTCTCTGCCAGTGATCCACCCAATTCAATCGCATAATGTGATTTACAGAATGATATAGCAAATCCAGAAGACACAATTTACTGGGTATGTGAACCAAATCACCCCCTTTTTTATTAGAATACTGTCCAAAAAAGTTAACTCACGGCACCACTGCCATGGGCATGAAAGTCCACAATCCTGAGGATAAAGATTTATGCTTTTTTTAAAGAAGTTAATTGCCAAAGTAGAATTATATAGGCATACAGGCCAGGGTTAAGCATTTTTCTATTTTAAAATGTAAATGTTTTGAGTGCTAGAACAGGCAGTGAGGTGGTAGTCAATCATTGATGATGGGATTTTAATATTATAGTATCAGAATGTAATGGAGCAAACAGCAGCATTGATCAGTATTGGACCCAAGGAATGACAAGGGAATGGAAAATTACACCTGATCTAGAAAACCTTTCATAACCTGTGATCCCTCTGCCAGCGTCATCAGCAAATCATAATGTAGTTTGAGTGTGAAAATAGGATCGATGACATGTAGGAGATTAGACTTGCTATAATGTTGCTCACTGTGCGACTGGGCCTAGATGGGATCCTGGCCTGCCCAACTATGGTTTATCCTTTCCCTACAAATATTAATATATGAGCGGATTATAACAAAAAAAGTAATCTGGTGATATAAAACAATTACATACCAGCACACAATGACACTCCACACAATCTACTAACCGAGTAAGAATGAGGCTAGAGCAGGGGTACCTGTGCTATAGTCCCAAGGATAATATAGTCTATATACTCATGTATGTTTTTGAGTCAGCTTCCTCTCTGTCTCATATACTGGTTTCTTAAATCATGTCCACTATTTGGCATGCTATCGCTAGTATTGCAATAGAAGCTATGGCACTAAGTGATTTTTTGATGGCTTCCTACCCCATTCCTACACCTGCAAATCCCACAGTTCGCACCAGGCTGCCACCACAGCTACCTACAGCACCATTAACACTGACAGTTTGAATGTGAAGATTAAAAAAGAGAGACGGTGAGCTCGGAAGCTTGTTCCTCTAAATGAGTTCCCGCTATGCACGGATTACACAGATTGCACAGTTACAGAGGGTTGTTTAGCAAGTCCGATAACTGGCCATCCGCATAAGGTGAATTGAGGGGATTCTGTGTTTTTTATATGCTGTTTTCCAGTACCTTTGTGACTATTTATGTTTTTTATGAATAGAGTGTTATTGAAGAGTGTGCACAAGGCCAGTGTGCAGGTTTAGTATTTAAATAAATAATAAAATAGTTAAAACGAGATAAAGCACTGTGGCTTGATCTCATATAGTGGTGGGTGACCTATGCAGACAAGTAGCATCTGGTTATGTTCATCATCTTTACTTAACAGTTAAAAAAGATCAACTTTAGTATACATTTATAGATGCTTGTCTTGTGTGGTTGCCTGCCGGCTTTTATAGAAAAGAAAATGAGACACTCAAGCCCAATTGCTGTAAAACAAATTTCTACTATGGCTACTTTTGTGAAACAAACCTGGGATGTCCCTGCACAGGGTTCTAAAACACACATAAGAGGAAGCAAACCAGGCATGAATATCTTCCTAAAGCTCTGCTTCAGTCTTGTCTCCTAAGGGCCTATATCCATAGACATTTGTTCACCTCACAACTGCTTTCCTCACCATGCAAATCAATAGGAATGTAGAAGCAGCCTTGAAGGATGTCAACTGCTGGTCGAAAGGAGGACAAGTACAACTGCTGGGCAAATGCATCTGTGAAGGAATTCAGATGCAACTTATCTCAAACTAATCTGCAATGCACCCGAAAGCATGTTGCATTTGCCCACCTACACAAGCCCTAAAGCTGACAATACACATAACAATATGTTAGTACAATTTACGATGCTGAGGTTGAAATGCGATGTTTCAAAACTGTATTTAAAATGAAATTGTAATCTTCGCTTTACAATCTGTTTAGCAAAAAGCACACAAAATTAGCACGGACAGCGCTCTCGAATTGAACCTGGAGAAATGAATTTAGTAGCTCTACCTAGCCTGCGGCCCTTGGAGACAGGAGGAGTACCTGTGCTTGTGGAGCAAAAAGAACAAACGTGTGGGCGCAAAGCTGAAGGGGCTATAAGACTAAGTGAGACATTGTGAAAGATAAAACAGAAGGAGATGTAGCACTTACTTTGAGTGGATCTCAGGACCAGATGGGGGCCGGTCTGTGGGGAGGATCGTGAAAAACCGAGGTGTGTATTCAATGAGGACTGGTATGCTGCCTGAGGCTGTTCATCTCGAGGAGGGAAGCGATGGTGAGAAGAGAGGAGAGGGATGGACGGGGGAGCGGGTAGTGGCACGCAAATTTAGTCCATGTCACCGCTGCTGTGATGGGGAGTGCAGGCGATGTGCGGGGTGGCGTCTGGCTGGGCTGCATCCAGCATAATAG